AGACACTGGGGGAAACAACTGCTGGACATCTGCCCGAGATCACTCAGTCTTTGTCTCCAAGCCTGTTCTTTTCTTGCACTATGTTTCCTCCATGTATGGGAGCCTAGTGTTGTGGGAGCCACAGCTACTGAGGATGGGGCATAGCCTACCCCAGGAAACGAGTTCACCATCTCTGCCCCGATGACCCCTTTCCTGCTGCCAGATGTGGTGGCTGCAGGCTGCAGTGATCATCATCCCGGTTCTGATCTCATCCACTCTGCTGGTCGTTGGCTGTATCTTATGGAAGACATGCTGCTGGTGGTCCTGGGTCACTGGTCCCAGTCTGTCATCCCCAGGAGGGGCCAAGATGAGCCACTCAAGGACACAATGACAGGCAGGACGCATTTCTCTTTTTACGTTTAGTCTCCTTATGCAAAACACTCAGGAAAATCACTATCACATCTGCACTGCCCAAATTTGTGACATTAAAAAAAATTTTTGAAAAAGGGCTGGGGATTTAGCTCAGTGGCACAGCTCCTGCCTGGCAAGCACAAGGTTGTGAGTTTGATTTCCGGTACCAGAAAAAAACAAAACAAAACAAAACAAATCAAATTTGTGACATTAAGAAACTCTGCTTATGCTTCCAGGCAACAGGGAATAGTGTGCTCAGCTGGATAAAGCCTCACAGAAGCTACAGCCATGGTGCATGCCTCATGCCCTTGTCCAGGTTCTGCTGGACATTGCTCACCAATCCCCTTGGGTCAAGGAAGGTCCATTCTGTCACCCCCATAACCATGGCCCTGAGTGATAGGGTCTGAGGGAGCATAGAAGATGTGCAACTATCCAGCCAGGAGAGGAGAGTTAGGGAAAGTGGCATCTAAGAGAGGAGGGTTAGCAAGAAGTGGTACCTCTGCTAAGCCCTGAGGCTAGGAAGCTTGCCAGAAGGAAGAAGCAAAAGAATGGTCTGGGCAGAGGGAACAGAGAGTACAGTGTAGCAATTAGCAAATGATCACTCACTTCCTGTTTTATAAGTAAAGTTTTATTGAAACATAGTCATGTGCAGTCATTTGTGTACATCCGGCTGCTTATGCTTTCCACAACAGTGCGCAGGAGTTGCTACAGAAAACTTAAGGATTCAAAAGTAAAAGAATATTTACTGTCTGGCCCTTCACTGAAAAGGTGTGCTGACCCCTAAGTTTACATTTGCCTTTTAGGGAGCAGAGAGGCTGGAGAGTAAAGGTGAGAGATATGCAGTAGACGCACGCATTGAATCCTTCATAACTAGAGTGGATTGATCCAGAGCAGGTACACCTGACCTAAACTGAGCTTGCTAGATTCTCTCTCCAGGAATCTGAAATGTAGAATGACAAGCCCAGAAATGGAGCTCAGCCACACTAATATCTGTGAACCGCTGCTGCTGAGGTCCCAGGCTGCTCCCCTCCTTCCCCAGACTGGCTAGTCAACATTTCCAGTGATTCAGAACATCCCTGCAATCGGGTCCCTTAGCTTTTCATTTTCTTTTCCCCTAAAAGTCAGTTTCTATTACTTTCAATGAAGAAAGTTCTTCAGTAGCTAAAATAAAGAATTAGAGAGAGATGAAACTGGTAGGATATGGATTTACTCAGTGTGATCCAATATATATGTAAATTGAGACATATACAATTTTAAACTTTCTGATAGCCATATTAAATATTAAGGACAGATGAGTTCAGTTAATTGAACAATATATTTTATTTAACTCAAAGTATCTCAGCATTGAAAATATTTTAAAATTAAAAATGAGATAATTTACAATCTTTTTTGGAAGTACATCTTTAAATTCTAAGCTGTGTTTCAAACTACAGCACATATTAATTCAGGTGATCTGTACCTCAAAGGCTCTTAATATAATGACTAATATAGGCTGGTGACTAATATAATGGATGGTACAGATTTAGATCTAAGGGTCATATAAGACTGGCATAAAAGCGCTAACATCATTCTAAAAGCAGCTGGCATCCCCTGAAGAGACTCATGCCAAGAAGTGGTATGATTTCATTTTAGGAAGATTACTCTGATTTCCACCTAAAGAATAAACTGGAAAGCTAGGCGTGGTAGTGCATGCCAGTAATCCCAGCACTCTTGGAGCCTGAGGCAGAAGGAGCACAAGTTTGAGCCCAGCCTAGGTAACTCAGTAACTTGGCAAGACCCTGTCTCAAAATAAAAAATAAAAATAAAAGGGGTGAGGATATAGCTCAATGCAAAGGCCCTGATTTCAATGGCCAATACTGCCAAAAAAAAAAAAAAAAAGAAGAACTAGAAGACAGTTGAGACTTTAGCAGCTGAAATAATCCAAATGAGAGATAAATGGCAGCAAGAATATACAGAAGCAGTTGAATCCGAGAAATGATTAGGAAGCAGAAGCAACACACATCATCACCACTGCCCCCACTTATAAAAGCTATTTCCATCTGCACATCCTTGTATCTCTCCTCCCTCTGCCCTCCCCAAATATCTGTCCTTTTTCTGCCTCTGACGACCAAAATGGCAAATCCTTCCCCATTAAGCAATGTTGGAGAGAGTGACACCCAGAAGTTTAAAATTTTAGTCTTTCTCTCCTTGCAACCAGGTTATGAACGCTATGAAGGAGGGACTTTTGTCCTCACTTTGGTGTCCACAGTGCCTGAAACAACGCCTGGCACAGAGAAGGCACCTAGTAAATATTTGCTGAATGAATGGCTGGATGGAAGGGAGAATGATACGCCACGCACCTTAACAAGCAATTCGACTCAGGGCAGAGCGGCCCTCTAGCACTCCCTCCATTCTAAGTCCCTGCAATATTTCTTCCCCAGACAACGGCCCTTTTCCCCTATCCCAGCCTTGAGTCTCCCCTGTTGATTTACCTTGTTGGTTCCAGAAATCTCAAAATGCTACTTATTGAACTCATCCCCCCCGTGACCTGTGTGCCAGGAGCTCTAGCAAGCAGGATCCTCCAATTTACCGACACAGGCACTGGTCTTCTCCTGCCTAACACTTTGTCCCACATCCAACTCCACTGACAAATACCTTCCATTCTTTTTCCAACCATGTCTCACATTCATTCCTACTCCTCACCTCCACAGCCACTGTCCAAATCAGGTTCGCATCATTTCTCCCCGGCCTACAACAACAACCTCTCCCAAGGCCTCTGGCTTCTCCCTTTGCGTCTATTATCTATGGTACAACAAATCATCTTAAAGTTAGGTAAAACTTAAAACCACAACATTTATTATCTCCTGGTTTCTGTGGGCTGGGAGCCAGGGTGTGGCTTAGCTGGGTGTCTCTGGCTGAGAGTCTCTTCCAGGGAAAAATCCACTACCAACTCCAATCATGTAGCTTTTAAAAGGCTTCAAGTCTGGTCCTTGTTCAGAGTTGTCAGTTGCTGGCCACACAGGCCAATCTCTCCACAGGGAAGCTCACAACATGGCTGATGTCTCCACTACAAGAATGGGAAGGCACCCAAGGTGGAAACCTGTCTTTTATAATCTAACCTCAAAAACGACAACTCATTGTTTCTAACATATTCTCTTTTTTAGAATAGAAGCCATAAACCCAATCCATTCTTGGGGGAAAGCACTGCACTGGAAGATACTAGAGCATGGGATCCCTGGGAACTTCTAAGAGGCTGCCTACCACACCCTCTTCAATGCCTCCTAGTGCACCATCTGAAGTGCAAAGCTGGCCTGCTCTCTCCCTTGCTCACACATTCTCATGACTTGCTGATACCTCCAAGACATACCCTTTTATAATATGCCCCTGATTTCTGTTCCAATTTTATCTGTGATTTTGTACTCCAGTTCCTGAGAAAGGGCTCCCTTCTCTTCTATACATCATTCTCCTTGTCTGGAATGCTCTTCTCAGTCTCCCCAGAATTTCTTACCCTAGCCAAATTCCCACTCATCCACCAAAACTCACTGCTTCTGCCAAGTCACCTTAACCAGAGCAGGCAGTTATGCCTATCCCTAATCAGACTTCCCTTGGTACCCTGTGCTTTCCTGTAACACAGCACTTAGTGCACCAAATCACAATTATTTCCACTTGGACATCTCACTGGAGCTCAAATTTAACTTGTTCAAATATTTATTTCTAGCTGGCTCTGATGGTGCCTGTAATCTCAGCATTTAGGAGGCTGAAACAGGAGGATTGCCACCAGTTCAAGGCCAGCCTGGGCTACATAGTGAGTTCAAGGGCTGTCGGAACTATATAGTAACATCATGTGTCAAAAAATAAAATTCTACTAGTTTTCTATCAGTGGGATTTAGCAGAAGCCATCCAGTCTACTTCCAGAATCCCTAGTCTGGGAGATAAGTTATAGAACATAACCCTCCACTAGCTTTATTAGAATGCCCAGAGAGCAGCCATTTAGTGTTAGGTGCTACTAAGTAAATATATATGCTGCTGTCAAGGCAATTATGGTGATCACAGGCTTCCTCTAAGCCCAGAAAGAGGGCTGGGTGTGTTTAGTGATTGAGAGGTCCCTGAATCAGGCAAAGATGTTTCCTAACTTTCTCCACTAGTTACTATCTGTTCCAGGCAAAGTTACTTCGTATGTAAGCCTCAGTTTCTTAATTTGTAACGGAAATAATGTAGGTGATTACCAGTGTTTACCACATGCCTCTTCTGAGTATTTGAAATGTTTATTTAATCCTACAACAACGGTACAAGATAGGTACTATCATCCCATTTCACAGACACGGTGTGCCAGAGAGAGTAATTTAAGCTAACAGGCAGAAGCAGTATCCCAACACAGGCAGTGAGAGATTGGAGTCCATGTCATAAAATTCACTCCATAGCGTGGTGTGGGTAAAGTGGAATAATGCGAGGGAAAGGCGTGATCAGGGAGGGCATGGCAGACAGTAGGCAACCGTGATTATTTTATCTTTCGCCCAGAAATCAAGAATTCGTTCAAATCACCTGATATTCTGTGTGAACTCAGCAGGTGTCTTGCTCCGCTTTCCTATTCTAGGAACCACCAGCTTTCTAAGCGGAAGCAGAAGTAGATGTTGGGCCGGAAGCCCTCTTCCGGTACTGCGCCCCCCTCCTCAAACCCACCGCAAATCCACGAGCCCCCACCCCACGCTGCCCTGTGAGGAAAGACATTTTTATCGGAGGAAACCCCGCCCCCGGTGAGAGTTCGCTTTTCATTGGTAGAGGTTGGAAGCGGAGCTACGATCCTCAATATTTCAACCAATGGCTGCCTGTGGATTTTTTTTTTTTCAGGTTGTTAAATCGGTTCCTCCTCCAGGCCAGCAGAGGGCGCAATCCTGGGAGAGGCAGAGGCGCGAAGCCTGGGAGGCTCCTGTGTGCGGAAGTAGCGTCACGCAACCGGAAATTTATGGTTTGGAGGGCCGTGTTGTGGGGATTCCGGCGGGCTGAGAAGCTCGCGGTGAGTTCGTGGAGCCAGTACTGAGGGTCATTTACTCCCCTTCCCCCACACGTTCTCGTATTTTCCGATGGGAAAAGTGAAGGGCTTGAGAGGAAGGGGCTTCTTATATTCACTCAGCGAGAAACCAGAGCGCGCTTCCCGTACAGCTCTGAGCGGAGGGACGGCCCGGGCGGGGGAGGCGCTCCGCCCGGGGGGCTCCGGCGAGTTCCCGGGGCGAGTCTCGCGGATGGGGAAACGAAACCCAAAAAGGGACGTCAGCGCACAGCGACTTGCCAGTGTAGTATTGCCAGACTTAGCAAATAAAATGCGGAACGCCCAGTTCAAAGTTGAATTTAAGATAAACGAGTAATGTATTTTGAGAGAGCCTCGAAAAGTAGTACAGGCTGGCCTTGAACTTACGGTGATCCTCCTGCCTCAGCCTGCTGAGTGTGGGGATTACAGGCGTGGGCCACCACGCTCGGTGAGTAATGTTTTAGTGTAAGAAGTCAAATACGTGTATAAAGGGGGAAAAAAATCCTCCCTTAAAGCCCCCTTTAATTTAGTGTCCTGTTTTTATCCAGCGATCCTGCCCCAAGGTCACCAAGAGCTGTTGAAGCCCCTCTTGCCCGTGGTCCCCCTCCCTCTTCCCCTCCACAGCCCCCCCTCACTCAGCCGCAAGATGCTGTCACTCCTGACTCCGTTTCACCCTTATCGAGATACTCAGACTCTTCCCTCTCTCCCTGGTCTCAGCCACAATGGCCTCCTCTCTGCTCCTCACACACTGCACTCCCTGCTGGGTCCGCATTTACTGTCCCTTCTCTCCAGAGCGATCTTCCCTGGGATGGGACCCACTTAATGCAGGTTTCAAACGGTTTCTTTATGTGAAACCGTCCTAGATTGCCCTTTAGAAAACAGCACCTCCTAGTCTTTTTTCCCTTAACTGGTTTTCTTTTTCTTCACGGAATCTATTAGCATCTGACATACTCCATGGCATGTTAGTCTGTGTATCATCTGTCAGTCCCCTAGAATCTGACATCCCTGGCAGCAAAAACCTTATTTTTCACTGCTGTGTCATCACCCAGAACAGACCAGGTGCTCAATGTACATGCCAAAAACAAACAGCTCTTCACCTCTCCGAATCTGCTAACTCATTTGTAAAATGTGCCAGCCAAACATATTTCTCCTGGAAGATTATTGTGAGGGTTAAATAAGAAAATGGGTACAAAAGAGCCCAGGGCCCAGCATATCACCAGGTGCTCAATAAATGACAGTGCAAGGTAATGCCTTTGGCACTGATCGAGCAGCAGACACTTGTGATGCAAAGATGGGTCGCTGTGTCCTCCAGGAGCTGACAGTACTAGTCCGTGGGACCTGCAAACTAACTCAGAGTACACTGGGAAAAACCTGGCTGGACAAATTTAACCCAATGTCAGGAAAACCTGTAGGCGTATAAGATGCTTCAACAGCTCTTGGTGACCTCGGGGCAGGGGACAGGGCAGGTGGAAAGTGACTGCCAGTGGTGGAGGGGCTTCTTGGGATGAGTATGTTCTAAAACTGACAATGGTGATAACTGTACAGCTTTGCAAGTACACTCAAACCATTTACTTCCACACTTTAAAAAGCTGGATTGTATGGCACGTGAATTGTATCTCAATTTTTTTAAATTTAAGAAAAAGAATTTCAGTCTCCTCTGGCATCTGGAAGTATCTAAAATTCTGAACTCCTTTGCTAAACTGCTCACACACCATGCGTGCAGAGCTTGGGGCTCTGGCAGTGTGGAGGAGCCCTTGTGCTGCAAGAGCTGCCAGTCTGAGGGGATGCCAGGGCTGTTGGCATCGGGCACAGCAATGTTCTCTGGCCAGCCTTATCCTAACAGTGACTGCCTAAACAAGCAAAACCCACCACATGTTAGCATTATTCTTACTGCTTTGCCTGCTTGCAAGGAAAGTAAGGGGAGAGGGTCTACTCAGAACCTCCCATGGGGAAAAAGGGAGTTGGGGACGTAGCTCAGTGCTAGAGCACTTGCCTAGCCTTTGGAAGTCCATGGCTTGGTCCCTAGCACTGCAAGACGTCCGTCCTTTTGTTCTTTCTCTCCAGTATGAATTTGCAAAACTGTATCAAGTGCTTAGTTGCCCCTACACTGTGCCGGCCTTTAGGCTAGGTAATGGGTTCGCACAGAGGCCAGTGGCCAGTCACAAGCTCCTGAAAGCTCCAGTCACCCCACACCTCAGCCCCTGACAGCTCACCCTTTTTCCTGACGCCAGGCTTCTTCCAGTCTTGGAAGCCTTTGGGGGCAGAGGTGAGTCGGAGGAGGTGTGAGTGGGTGGTGCCCCCACTGCTGCGAGGCTCAGGAGCACGGGCTCATTGGGAAGTGGGGAAGTCTCTCCATGCCTGACTCGGCTGATTTTTCAATCAAATTGCTGGATTCCACTGCAGTATTAAAAAAGCTAAGTATTTATTTGCGTATTTACAAAAGTGAGAAAGGTAGGAGACCCTAAGGACACCCCAAAACCTGGCTGACCAGGCCCCTTGCGCTGCAGAGAAGGCGGACACAGCTGGAAGGGACAGGATTTATGTTGCATACTTGAACTACAGTGGGTATAAGACTGGTCCTATTTACAGGGCAGAAACAAACACTACAGGTGGAGCAGGGGGCGGCGGAGTGAGCACCAGAGTCCTGGCCAGAGAGTGTCCTGCTTGCCGCAGTCCCCAGCTCTCCCAGAGGCATCTCCACGGCCCCACTGGGGGTGTCTAGGGGGAGGAAGGCCTGCTCACATGATGCTTGCTGGGGTGAAGACAGGGCCCACACACAGAGTGTCTGTGATCTCCCAGCCGCAGGACAGAGGCTTGCACACACCCTCAGTGTCCTCATCTTGTTCCACAGGCAGCAGCTGTCTCCGCAGTGCTTCCCTAGGGGTGAGAGAGGGGTCACAGAGGCAGCCAGCTCAAGGACAACAGGGGGCTTCTTTAGGCCCCTGTACCTGTACTCTTGGTCCCATCAGACACAGGACTCTTACCTAAGCCCAGCCAAGGTCAGGGGCAAGTGACACCTGCTGACCCTTGTCCCCTCTGCTTGCTTGCCCTGTGGTCCCCACTGTCAAAAAGGAAAAGGGAACCCACATTTATGAGCATTTCCTGTGAGTCAGACATGCCAGGCACCTCCCATCCATCATCTAAAAGCCTGTGAGGGACCCATTCCTATTCCCATTTTACTGATGAAGAAACTGAGGATCAAGAGAAGAGTGGCCTGCCCTAGACCACATGCCAGCACTAGGGTTGAACCCAGCTCTTCCCTTCCAGTCAAGCCAACCTCTATTAATGCCAAGGTATACCACACTTGCCCCCCTCTGCCTCCTGCCTGCTGCCCACCTTCCCAGGGAGCAGGACTAAGCCTCAGAGAGGGCTCATGCTCCCTGCCAGCACAGTGCCACCCCAAGTGCCTGCCTGCAACTCTGTGATCCCCTGGGGAAGCCCCGCCCTTTCTCTGGCCCCAGGTGGTTGGTAAATGAGCCTCAGCAGGAGCTCCTTGCCAGTCGGATTACACAGAAGCAGGTTTCAGATCACAGACTGCCCTTTTTGCTTAGGCCTTGCTGGCTTGCCCTTTCCCCATTTCGCAGCAGGGCCCTCTTACCAGGCTACCCGGGACATGGTGTAGGTGATGTGGCAGGTCTGGGTCCCCCCAAGGAGGGAGCTTGTGCCCACAGTGTAAGCGCCCATGTTCTCAAAGACCAGCCAGTCCCCTACGTGTAGTTGCGGCAGCCACAGGCCCTCAGCCACACAGTCACGGCCAGCGGCAGCTGGGCCCCACAGGCTGCTGCTGTACAGGGGCTGCTCTGTGGGTGGTTTCTGTAGGAGAGAAACATGGCCCGTCAGCCCTGGGCATACCTCGGCCTCAGCATTTCCTTCCCGCCAAAGCCTCCCACGGCTCCCGTGACTGACAGGATAAAGACCGATGGCCCCCGTAACCTGGCATTTGATGCCCTCCCCTATTCTCTGCATTCGTTATCTCTTACACTTGGAAGCCACAATACCTGGTCTCAAATCCAATTTCCAACACTTTAGCAGTGTGACCTTGGGCAAGATACTTAATCAACCTGTGCCTCGGTTTGTTCATTTATAAGATGTGAATAATTAATAGTCTCTACTTCAGAGAGCTACTAAAAGGATAAGGTGGTATGTGTAGAACATTTAACATGACAAAGGTCTGGTTTAGTTACTGCTATTGTTACTGCTGTTACTGTTACCACATCTGTCGTTTGGTCTTCACTGGCCACTTTCTGGACCTAAACTGTGCCCTCACCTCTGCAGCCCTCCTCCCCTCAGTTCCAGACACCTTCCAGGCCAGCCCTAGGGCTTCCCTTCCGTGAACGCCTCCCAGGTGCTCTCATTCCTGCCAGGCCCAGTGGAAGGAGCAGGAGGGTATTAGACCCAGCTGTATTAGACCCAGCCTCCCTCACATCTGTGAGGAAGGCACACCTCCAGCAGAAAATCACAGGGTGACCAGGCCGAAGTCACAGAAGACCTCCAAGCTAGACATAATTACTGTCTTTTTAGGGGAACTAAGGCTCTTAGAGGTTAAGGATTTGCTCAGAGACACAATTTACCAATGAAAATTTAAATTATTTTTCTTAAATGACTTCCAAATCCAGAAAAAAAAAAAATCTGAGCACAAACCATTAGCAGGCAACCAAGATGGTGCAATTTGTCACAGTGTAGGGAGGCCCTAAGGAGGAGTCACAGCTTAAGAACAGGTGTGTGCAGATCCTGACTGTGGCCTCAAGGCCCCTCACCCCACCTCCTGCACCCCGCGAGTTCCAGTTACTCCTGTTGCTCTGGGCTTCCCAGTAACGCAGCTCCCCTTCTCCTCCCCCTGCCTTCTCCCTTGCTCTTTCCTGAGGCTCCAAATCTGCCAGCTCCTGTTTGTCCTTTAGATCTCACAAGAATCAGCCTCCAGGAAGCCTTTCCTAAAGCTCCATTGCCCAAGCCTTGCCTTCATAGCATTTGCCAGGATTTGCAATTGCATATTTGCTTGTGAAGTATCTGTTCACGCCTGTCCTCCCTGACAGACGATAAATTCCATAAGCCCACAGATGGCTTTAGCCCAGTTCACCTCTGTCTCCTCTGCATCTTCCAGCCTGGCATATAGTAGGTGCTTTTTCAATATTTTTAAGCAAGTGAATGGATGGAATAGATAGATTGGAGAGAAGGAGGGAGGGGGAAATGGGAAGGAAAAAATAGAAGCTACTAGTAGGAAGCAGTGAAGACCTTAGCCAGAGGCAGGAATGAGGAAAATGACCAAAAAATTCTGTATATACAGAAGTAATATTCATGTATTTGACTTTCACAGATAGCCTTGGCCTGCATCTTTCAGCAAGTTTCTCCACCCAGTAGAGGCCGCTGCTATGATTGCGCACCTGCAGGTGGGTTTGTTTGCCACTGGTAGACTGCATGTTCCTGTGACACAACAAGCTCTATTCAAAGGTTATGAAATAGCCTTGAAGAGAATGAAACAGGAGAGAGGCCTGATCCTCCCAAAAAGGTAAATGAAAGTAACCCCATGGCTACCCCAGCATCTTATGGCTGGGCCACAGCGGCGTCAGGTCCCTCATGGCTGCTCAGAGAAACCTGGTCGCAGCAGGCTTCAGTCACAAACCCATCACCACTGACTCTGCCACTCTACAGCCCTCCTCAGTCAGGTCCTTAAGAGGTCCTTCCCTCCCCATGACCACCTTCTACAAGCATCTTCCTGCAGGTCAGCCTGGGTCAGTCTGTGCAGCATAAGCCGTTATAAAGCCTCCACTAGATGACATCCCTGCTCATTTGTAATTTCTGTGTCAAGTAGTGTGTGCTGAGCTGGTAACACACAGGGAAAGTGGTGCTGTCAGTAGCCTGACGTGATAACACTGAAGGTGGCTGGCCGCCAGAGAACAATGAAGAGCAATGAGGAATTGCTGGGAGCCACCACGTCTGGTGGCCAGAAGAGTCCCCAAGGCCTTCCTATAGCTGCTTGCTCCAAGGAGCAAGGGAGGAGAGCCACTAACATGAAAAGATCTGATATCTACTTGTCTTGAAAGCTCAGAGCTGTTAACACTACAAGAACACCCATTGCCAATTCATAATTTATATATGAATTCAGCAAGAAGCCCAGCCAATTAATAGCATCTCAGAAGCATACATGGCAACTCTTCCTTTGGGAGGGTTCTGAGGAAAAGGGTAGATAATGGTGCTGGTCATCAACAGGCTCGAGAGTCAGCCCATGTCTGATTTCCATCTTACATGTGGCAAAGAACCCACAATAGCGAGTAACAGGAGGAGCTATTCTCTTAAATTTCTAGTTCCTTGTTCATTCTCCCAGGTTGGTAACTGGTTTTGCTCCATTTAGTGATTAGCTGCCTTCAAAGTTAATAATTCCTTAAGTCAAAATGCTCCTATTCAAATAAATTACTGGTGTGATTTCTATATCTTAATACAATCTCTTCTTGAAACTAGGATTAGATATTCTGTCTTCTCACTCTGTGCACTACTTTCTTAACTTTTCTTATTTTTCAGACCTTTTTGCTTCTTGTTGCTACATTTGCATGCTGTCTTCACCACTGTCTTCCCCGTGCTCTTCACTTATTTCTCATGTGCTGCTTATCCTGTGTATGATACGCCCCTGGCCTACATTCACTTAGTCTTTGATTATATCTTCAATCTCTCATTTCTTTTTTTTTCTGAAACAGGGTCTGACTATGTAGTACAGGCTAGCTTTGAACTCACTATGTAGCCCAGGCTGGCCTTGAACTCACAGGTGATCCTTCCTGCCTCAGCCTCCCGAATGCTGGGATTACAAGCATGTGCCACCATGCCTGGCTCAATCTCTTATTTCTTTACACATTATAGAATTGTTTTTGTTTTAGCCAGATGTAGTACCACATGCCTGTAATCCCAGCAATTGTGGGCCTTGAGAGGAAGATCATGAGTTCAGGGCCAACCTGAGCTACATAGCAAGCTCAAAGCCAGCCTGGACTACAAAAAAAAAAAAAAAAAAAAAGTGGAATAGGTTTGTTTTATGTTTAGCACCTGGTAATTCCAATATATGAAGTATTGCAGGTCTGATTCTGCTGTCAGTTGTTCCTGCTAGTTTGGTAACTTGTTTGTGTTTTGTAATTTTCAGCTCCCAATTCATGCTCTGTGAAACCTTGTCTGAGAACTGTTAAAAGCCAAGGTTGCACATTCCTCCTCCAGAGAGAATTTGTGTTTGCTTCTGCCAGATACAGTCAGTTCTAGGCTTGAGATTTTTTAGATCCCAAAATTAGTGTCAATGTGAGCCAGATGGCAGCTTATCATTTCAGCTCTCAGATTTTGCTATCTTCCAACCACTACCAAAATTGAAACAGACAAGTTTTCTTGCTGTACTCTGTGGAACAGGGTGTTTTTCCTAGTTGACTTTTACAGTGAGGATGTACTCTGAGACGTTTGCAGCTTTATGTGAGGGCATTCCATCATATTCTTCATCTTGGCTAGGCTCTAGGAACCCACAGAGCAATCAGAACTAAAGATCAGCGCTCTGAGGATTCAGCATACCTCCAAACAGAAATCCAGTTTCAGCGTTAGGTTATCATTTAACACATACTTGAATAGTCACTGTTTTATGTGCTTGGGACACATTAGTGAACAAAATAGGCAATGATCTTTGTCCTCACAAAGTTTGCAGCATAGCAGGGTAATGGCAGACAAAATGAAGAATTACAAAGTGAGCTCATGAGCCAAGCACAGTGGTGCACAAGTGTAGTCTCAGCTCCATGGGAGGCTGAGACAGGAAGATCAGTTGAGCCTGAGAGTTTTAGAACAGACTGGGCAATATAGCAAGACACACTCTCAAAAAGCTTTTTTTAAAAAAAAAATTTCCTTAAATGTAGCATGTTAAAAGATAAAATGAAAAAAAAAAAAGATAAAATGTTACAGCTGGATAGTGGCACACACCTGTAATCCCACCTAGCCTGGAGGCTAGAGGAGGATTGTCAGTTTGAGGCCAGCCTGGGCAATACAGTCAGATCCTGCCTCATAAAGAAGTAGTAAGTGTTACTGAAAAAGAAAAATACCACAGGAAAGCCACAAACCATAGGGAAAAAAAAATTGATAACCTGGACTTGGTTAAAATTAAAGTGTTCTACTCGCCAGGCATGGTGGCACATGCCTGTAACCCCAGCACTTAGGAGGCTGAAGCAGGAGGATTGCTGTGGCTTCAGGGCTAGCCTGGGCTACATAGTGAGTTCAAGGCCGGGCTGAACTACATAGTGAGACCCTGGCTCAGAAGAAAAAAATGAATTTATGGAAAGATTCCCTGCATCATATATCATCAAGGAAATGCAACTCGAAATAACAAATACCACTGGACATCTATTACAACAGTCAAAATCCAGAATACTGACAACAAATGCTAGTGAGGACACAAAGCAACAGGAACTTTCATTCGCTGCTACTGGGATGCAGAATGATATAGCCACTTGGGAAGATAACGTGGCACTTCCTTCCTTACATGACCAAACATATCATTACCCCAAGGTTCTCATAAAATCCCCACAGAGCTGCCCCTCATACTCTGCATTTCTGAGGTGCTGGTATACATTTGTTGAATTATCTTTACATCCTAAATATATATCATTTTAGATAACCCAATGAACATTTTAAATGTTTATATATGAAAGTCCACCTAACATGCTAATATGTAAAACCATATGTTCATGGTATATTTTCTAAGCTAAAAACAATGTACACTAAGACACTTAGAACAAGAAGGAATCAAAATAAATTTTAAAAGTCATCTCTGATGAGTGGGATTTGTAAATTACTTTATCATTTATGATCAATTTTCTCCAATATGCTAGTTCTGTAAGAGAAAAGGCATATATTAAATAAAAGTGATTACAACTTGCAGAGCATGAAAGTTAGAGATAAATTTTCATATTATTACTATAGCACACTTAGTTAAGATACATGATATTGTGCTGAAACTTTATAAAAAATTAAAACTATAAGAATAAATCAACAGTTGAAAAGAATTGTATCAACTGTTACTTTACATACACATGCATATACAAGTTCACCTCTGTAAGAAGAAACTTCAAGACCTTCCAAATCAGGTGAACAGAGGATGTAAAGTGGCATTGACATCAAAAAATAAAAGATTTCTGCTTGTCATAGAAATAGACGTAGAAATGAAAAAAATACTGAGATGTGCCATTTCAGATAAATGAGCCAACAAGCAAAGGTCACTTGCAGTGTACTTTTCCTGTGAGCTTACTGTGACATGGGCACAAGTAGTGACAGTATGTATAGTCCAAGATTATGGGAAAATAATCTGGCGATACACATCTAGAGACCTAAAAGTGTTCATATCTTTTTACCTGATAATCTAATTCCAAAAACTCATCGTAAGAAAATAGTTCATAAAAGTGATTATACTTTAAGCAAGTAAAACCAGCTAGCCATGCAGAGAGATAAGCAAAGAGCATTCTAAGCAGAGGGAATATTCATGGAAGGATGAATAAGAATAACAAAAACTTAGCAATGCTGAAATGTCCAATGACACTGCGTTTTATAGAGAGGTAGTAATTTTATAGGAAAGTAGTTGAGCACTTTTCCTCTAGCACCAGACAGATAATCAAAGATGAGTAAGACATGAACCCTGCCTGCAGGGGCTCACAGTCTCCAGTTTATAAGCATTTCCCCGTATTAAGTATGTGACTTTGAGCAAGGCAAGGTACCTCACCTCTCTAAGCTCAGCTTCCTCATTGTAAAACAGGACTGATAATATCTACCTTAACAAATTGTTGTGAAGAGTAATGCTGCATGAAATACTTAACACAACACCTACACAGTGACTTCAGCAGGCACCAATACATTCATAAAGTTTGCAGCCACACAGCACTGTATGGGAATGATGAAAGGAGAGGTAACATTATGAATTCCATTAGAGCAAAGGATTATGGGAGGTTTTTGCTTGTTTTTGGTTTTTTCCTTCTTAAAAGTTTCTTTAAATTTTAAGTTGCTAATATAAGTTTTTAAAATCTATTCAGTTCCACCAGATATGGTAGCATGAACCTGTAGTCCCAGCTACTCAAGAGGCTGAGGCAGGAGGATCACTTTTAAGGCCAAGAGCTCAAGACCAGCCTGGGCAACACAGTGAGACCCCCATCTTAAAAACAAACAAATAAACAAACCTGTTCAATTCCTGTATACACTAAGCACCTATCATGTATCACATTCTATATTGAGAAAACAGATGCACATAGTTTCTGCCCTCAAGGGTCTTACAGTATAACAGGTCATTCATTCATAATTCATTCAAAAATATTTATTGAACACCTGCTATTTCCCTGGCACTGTGCCGGGTGTTAGGAATTCAGAGGGAACAAACTGAACAAAGCAACTGCCTTTGTAAAGCCTGCATGCTAGTGGAGAAGATAGACTAAGCAAGCAAGTAAAAACAAGATCATTACAGATGGTAACATGTTATAAAGAAAATAGAATGGTGATAAAATTATCTGAAGGTTGGAGATGAGCCACTTTAAAGAGAGTGGCCGGGAAGGGGCTCCTGAGTAGATGACATCTGAGGTGAGATGCAAAGGAAGAGAATAAGGAGTGAGTGAAGAGCATTCTGAACGGAACCAATACAAAGGTCCTGAGGTCAGAAAGAGCTCAGGCAATGCAGGAACAGAAAGGAGGCCGACGGAGATGCAGCAGATGACAGAGGGGAAGAGAGAGGAGAGGTGAGAAGAAGCAGGTGCGGGACCCTCAGTGTCCGTGCTGCGGAATCGAGATTTTATTTGAGAAGCACGAGAAGCCGTAGCGGGTTCTAAGCCGAGGGGGGACGTGATCTTTGGGTGTTTAAAAAGCGGCCGTGGAGAATGGATGGCAAGAAGGCACAAGTAGGGACCAGAAGAGCAGTTAGTTTTTGCTGCGGTAGCTCAGGCAGGAGGCGATGGTGGCAGAGAAACAGTGCGAGGAACTCGAAATGTGCACTGGAGCAAGACTCGAGCCTGCAGGTGGCCTCCATGTGGGCAGAGGGGGAAGGCGAGGACGGTGCCAGCTTCTTAGCTTAAACAGTTGGCTGGTGACAGTGCTATTTACTGTGAGGAGTTTGGGTTTGGAAATCAAGAATTTAGTTCTGAACAAGTTAAATCTGAGATCCCAGGAGAAATGTCAGGTGGGTAAGTGGCTGTCCAAGTCCGGGGCCCAGGGTGTGATCCAGGATAGATATAAACTTGGGAGTGAGGAGAGGAGGGAAGATGCTGAAACCTCAGCGTGGAAGCCAAGGAAGTACGTGTAGACGGGGAAGAGGGTCAAGGACCGAGGCCCAAGGTGGTCAGCACTTGGAGGGTACACGGAGGAAGACGGGCCAGAGAGAGGGTGGGAGCAGCAGAGGAACAGGCAAAGCCGGGAAGTGGCCACAGAAGCCACGACAGTCCGGTGTGAAGTTGGATGAAGATGAGTGCTGAGGACAGAGTTGCTTCAGGGAAATGCTGGTAACACGGACATGGCCTTCAAGAGCACACTCGGAGCTGGGTGTGGTGGCACGTGTCCATCCCAGCATTCCAGGAGGCTGAGGCAAGAGAATCACGAGTTTGAGCCCAGCCTGGGCAACTCAGTGACTTAGTGAGACGCTGTCTGAAAATTTAAAAATGTAAAAAGAGCATCCTCTGTGGAGTATAGCACAGAAACCAGGAGAGAGGTTCTAGGGGTGAGGGGACGCTGAGGAGCAGGGCCGGTAATGCAGGCCACGTGGTGCAGAGGTTCAGCCGTGCAGCCAGCTTACAGTCTCTGGGAGAAGAGGAGCTGTGCGGCCAGTAAATATTCACAGAGGTCAAGCTTCCTAGTGATCAGGAAATGCAGAGGACGCAATGAGATACCATTTCACATCCACTCCACTGGGAAGATGTTTTCAGGCTGACAGTGCCAAGTGTTAAGAAAAATGGGACCGAACATCAGTACTGCCACTTTGGAAAATTGTTAGGCACTGTCTCAAGAAGTTACACATTCACAGGCTGAGTCCCCAACACTCCCAGCACAACTGGAGCCTCAGTTTCCTCTTTCAGGCTCTGGAAGTGGTTGGCAGCCTGAAAGAGGAAGCTGAGGCATTGCCCAGAGGAGGCAGAGCACAGACCACAGAGTCAGTAACATCCTTGTGCCCGCGTGCAGAACACCTGCTGGAGAGCAGGCAAAGCAGAGGTGCTGGCAGGGCGGCACAGCAGTGGGGGGACTGCAGTCCTGCCCTTCTGAGGGGCCGAGGGAGGGGATGGCAGGTGGGTCAGGGATAGCAGGACAAGGGCCCTGGAGGCAGAGAACTGCTGCCTGCTCTGCAGCCTGGGCCAGCCCAATACTTTCTCGGTGTGGTAGGATGTGGGCTGCCACAAAATGTAGGCAATGCTGGTGTCAGAGTAGAAAGCTCTGGATTCCTCAACACAGCAGGGTGGCTTCCTCAGACAGTCTCTATAACCATACCTAACTTTGGACCCACAAGCCCATCCAAAATATGTGGGCCCTTCGGGGAGGGATAGAGTGGTTCACCCTACTTGCAGTGGGGTAAGAGGCAAGAAGAGCAGACAGTCAAGGCCTGTCTGATGGGAAGAGGAGCCACACAAAGGCCTAGAGATGTGAAGACACACTGGTGTGTTTGATTGTCTTCCCCCTCTTAAAGATGCCCCCTAAAGTTGCTGGAGGCCCAGGAATGTTTTGTTAATCCTCTTCCCCTGTTAATATGAAAACCCATGGCAGATGAAGTTTCTTTTTGCTTCTAGAATTTACCCTAGAGCAGTAATCAGAAATATATTTCAGAGTAGACTCACAGTGCTCAAAACAGGAAGTCACCCAACCACTAGTTGGTTGGAATACTATATAGTCATCAAAAAGCATGTTGCCAAAGATTAGTTAATGGCACAGAAATGGCTACACCTCATAAATGAAAAGCAGGTTACAAAAAAATATGATTCCCAACTTTATGAAAACAAAGTACAGTGCATTTTTAAATGAATGAAAAGAAATATAATGTTCAAAGAGTCTATGTCTGGTAGAATTATGAGTGATAACCTTCTTTATCTGATTGCCTATTTTCTACAATGAACATGTTTTACTTTTTAAAAAGTAGATAAAGAGCTGGGAATATAAGTGGTAGAGCATTTGCCTAGCATGTACAAGGTCTTGACGGCAATCCCCAGCAATATATATACATATGTATTTGATTAAAACACAACAGATCTATTGAAACACACCCACAGTTGAAAATAGGTGTGATGTAGGCTTACCTTGTGCAGGATGGGGGTGGGGCAGATGTTGTCAAACAGAACGGAGTTGAAGATTCCATACACGCCGTCATCGAGGTGGTACACAAAGGTCTTGAGGGCAGAACCATTTTCCTCTGTGGGGAGGAGTCAAGAGTAACACAAACAGAATGTTAAGAGGCTGGGAGGGGGAGTCGACATCATGGTAGGCTTAGGGAAGACAGCAGGTCTATGGAGCTGAGGTGGCTGCCCCTTCCCCAATTATGGGTAAGTCCTGTAACAGAAGCCACCAAGGGCCGTCCGCCTGGTGTCATGGGTTCACTGCCATGTTAGGAACACTCCCCCTTACAGCAGAGCAAGCCTGCCCAGGGCACACTTCCCAGCCTGTATCAGCGCCCTTAGATGCCCCAGCAAATGCAGAAGAGCGCCCACTCAAACTCAAGACCCCAGAGGTTAAGCCACTTGCTCAGTGGCACCAGATAGGGTAATGGATGAGCTGGAATGAGAAGCGAGGTCTCCCAACTGGACCGGATGGGACAATCCCCAGGTCTACAAAGGAAACCAGAAGAACACTCTCCCTGTGCACACGCAGGACAGTTGACCTGAATCCCACCACACTTGCACATAAATTTTGTCTGGGGAAGAGCACACCATCCTGAGGCTGTCCTGCTTGAGGGTCTCAGAGCAGAGGGCAAAGCCCAGAATCAGAGTCCTCAACACTCCTTGCTCAGAGGGTGCTGAGAGCTCACTCTAGGAGACCTGATCTATCTGGAAGGGGAGGGAAGAGCAGTAATGCTGGTGGTGTGGGCATTCAAGTTGAGTCATCCCAGCCCGAACTTGAGCTCCAACCCTGTCCCTTATCAGCCATGTGCCTTTGGCTGGTGACTCAACCCCTCCCTGCCTATGTTCTGTAAGAGGGACCCCAACAAATATCAGTTGTCATTAATTACTTTTATTAAGTTACAAGAAAGGATGAGCAAGAGCCTGACTTTGAGGAGGAGACAGACAAGGGGTCAAACACAGGCTTTACTTCTTACAGGTTCTTAAGCAATGCACTTAAACTTCCTTTGACTCTGCTGCCTCATCTATAAAACGATGTCCAAAAAGCATCTGTTCTCCCTAATGCCCTTTTTATATCAGTTTGCACACTGCTATGGAAAAAGATGCTTGGTAATTGTCTTGGGAATAAAAGGACTTAATTGCAAGTTTCCCTAGGGTGAGCATCCTTTCTCCAGATTCCCCCATCCTGGCCACTGGGCTGAACACCAGGCTCTTTCCAGCTAGCCACTGTCCCAGCTTCAGGAGGGGACAGGGCTCCATTGCCCACCTGGCACCTACCCTCTCTGCTGGGCTGGTCTAGAAGAACCTCCTTCTTGGCGACAATGCTGACAGCCACGGTGAAGGCAGAGGTCACATAGTAGCGCCCCAGCTCAGCAAGGATGTCCACACCACAGCCCTCTGGGAAGTATAGGTCCAAGGCTGAGTTGATCACAGAGGCAATCTAGTGGGAGCAGGTTGGAGGACAACTGTGTGTTTGAAATGTGGGGTTTATTCCGAAGACTTGCTACAGCTCCAAGGCTATTTCTTAAAAGCCACTTTGATTTCAGGAAGAAGGACTTGGCAGCTGCTAAGGCCCCAGCTGGTAACTGAGGACAGCTAGCCAAGAAGGCAGGAGCGGGGCTGGGCTGGGTTAAAACCCGCGAACTTGTGTAAATCACCCTTGTCCTATAAGGGTGGGTGCTCAGATTCCAGAAGTCCTGGTATGGGTCTTTCATAAATAACCAGTTTGCTAAACAATACATTGCAGGAAATTCAAAAAATACAAAGAACAAAAAGATAGAAACCACCTTAATTCTATCACCCACATGATCCTAATCATTGTGAATTATTTGAGTAAATTCTTTAATTCTTTTTTATGAACAGTATTTTTAACTGTAAACATCATGGATTCTACACGTGTTCTTGCAAGCTGTTTTGCTCAATACATTGTGAGAGTCCTCACGAGTAAATGTTTTCACCCTAAGATTGTACATACCGTCATCCAGCCTGTCCTGTGTATTCGATGGCCCAGAAAGGTTCACTACTCTTATGCACAAAGCTGTAACTCTCATTTTTTGAGGCTAATTCTTCGGGTCCATTGCAAAATTACCTCCTCAGAGTCAATTCGTAGCTATGGAGATTGCAGAAGCTTTTCCTGTTCTAAGGAGAGGCGACCCCTAGTGGGGACTTCTATGACGCGTATCTCTTGCCTTCATCTCACAGATGAGGTGACACAGGATGCAGGGAGAAGGTTGGTTTTCCTTCTCTGTCTTCCCGTCTGATTTCTCATCAGCCACCCAAGGGTAAATAGGGCATACTCAGACCCTTGAAGGGCCTTATGATGTGCAATTATGTGTTGGCTAAGCCTCAGATAGGCTGGGTAAGTGCATGAGCTGGAGTCAGGCAGCGCCAGTGTCGCCAGCCCTGCTGTGCACTCCGAAAGTGACACAACCTCGATGAGCCTCCGTTTGCCCAGCCGTAGCACAGGGCTAGTAAGTAGCGAGGTAACCCAGGTAATGCACCAAGCACAGCATAAGGCACACAGGAGCCGCTCCAGTAGACTCCCTGTGAACATTCTGCCCCTCTATACCAGTCCCCAGCTGCCCACCCAAAGAGCCCAGCAAGACATTCCCAGCCCCTCAGTTACCTCTTCAAATCGCACTTTGGTTCCCTCTACTCCAGGGAAGCCACCACCAAGGTCAAGAATATGCATCGTGTGACCGAGTTCAGCACCGATTTCAAACACAAGCCGGGCTTCCGCGATGGACTGAGCATAGACTTGAGGATCAAGACAGCCACTGCCAACATGAAAACTGGGAAGGGAGGAAGAGCCTCTGCTTGCACACAGAGTCCCAAGATGCCCCAACCTCAGCCCAGCCAGTGGTGATCTTGGGCAGACACGTGGGACAGTGTGCCCATGTTACTGGTGCAGTGACTGAGAGCCTGAAATATTAAGGCCTCCAGGAGGTCTTGTCCCAGGAGGCTCTTCCCACAACTGGCCCTGTGGCCAGTTAGTAAAGGACAGGAGGCACTTGATGCTTCGCTCGTTCCCCCACATTGCCCCTAGAGAAACCTTCTAGGATGAGAGCCAGGGCCCCAGATTACCCAGATTTGGAGAGGCCTGTCAGTCAGTGGTTGACCTGGCCAAGTTACTCAGCCCGCCTCATTCAAGTGTCCTGTCCACACACGCAGGGATAAGAGCCTCTACCACACAAGGCCATGGGGTGATGGACATGCAGCCCTCAGCTCAGTGCCTGAGGTACAGAATAATGAAGCTGCGTGCAACTGGTCTTTATTATTTTCTTCCACATCCCTCAAAGAGGCAGTCCCAGGGTGTGGCTGCAGAGCCTTTGGCCTACATCTAGGCTGACAGAGCTTTCTCAGGGCCAGATCCCAATGGGAAGAGCCTCCTGGGACAAGACCTCCTGGAGACTACAGGGCTGGGGAAGGGGACATTCCAAACCACAAAGAGAGGAAATTCTTAACTAGCAGAATTCCAGGCCCAGGAGCTGGCCTTGCTTGGAGGCCCTGGGGAAAGTCTCATACAGAATGAGTAATTCCTGCAAAAGAGGCATGGGCTGGGTGTGGGTGGGGATGGTGGGGCTCCCGGTGCGCACCTCACACCCACCACCTCCATATGGCTCTTCTTGGCATTTTCAAGCAGATGTCTGCAGGATTTCAGCAATGCTCCAAATTTCAGGCTCAGGCGGCTCAGGGAGTGGGTGTCATCGGTGGCAATGCACAGCACCATCCTGATGAGACACACAGTGCACCTCTGCTGTATGAACCCACCTACCCCATCCCAACCATGTCTCCTCCCAGTCCGGGCCTATGAACTCAGGCTGAAAGCCCCGTGGGCCCACAAGCTTCTAAGCCTCATCTTCGCCCTGCACAGCCAGTCAGCCTATGAGTTCTGTCCAACTCAGTCTCCTAATGTCCCGGTGCACATTCCTGCATCATCTGCATGGGCGAGATCTCACTGGCTGTCCCCTGGGCAGCTCTAGATACCTCCACACCAGGCAGAGTTTTCAAACTTTGCGTATATGAGGGGAACTACTTTTCAAAGTTTTAAGGACAACCCCAGTAACATGATGGAAGCTGCTTTGGGTGAACCAGAATAGCCCGCCTCCTAGCCTACCCTTAACCCAAAACCCTTCCCTGGGCCCCCAGGGAATCCATCTGCACTAGATCCCTACCTGCAAGCAGTGTCACTGTGTCCTTCACCCATCACACAGGCATGTTCCAGCCACATCAAACTTCTGCTCACCCCTCAAACACTCATGCTGCTCCTGACACCCGTGATTTTGTTTATGCGCTTTGCTCTTCATGCTTTCCTCAAACTCTACTCATTATTCAAGGTCTCCTTCTGAAACTTTCCTGCTGGTTCTCTCAAGCCTATGACTTTGACCTCCACTACACCATGGCCTTTTCTGCCTGGGGTTAGAACCAGGTAGTTCTGCCTTTCATCTAGGCAAGCCTGGCGTCCTGGGTCCAGTCCAGGAATACCCACGTGATTTCTCGTGACAGTGGCCAAGTCCAAGGCAAGCCCCTCTCCCTAGCACCCTCTCCACTCCACCCTTACCCAGCATTCCAGCCCTTACCCCCTGCATGCCTGGTTCTCACTTACTTGGCAGTGGGGTAGCTCTTGACCACCTTTGCCAGTTCCACCTCATTGTCAAAGCTCAGCAGCTGCACCCCATGCTTGGCAGCATACTTGATCTGTGCAATTTGCTTGCAGGGATTGGCATAGATGATCTTACTGGTAGGGACACCGATGCGCTGGACTAACTCCATCTCTGCCTGTAGAGCCCCAAAGGTGGTGGTAAGGGCACCAGGACTACTGATCCATGGAGCCCAAGGAAACAGAAATGAAGGGCAGTCAGAGCTACATAATAAGTAGGCCCTCCCTTTGAGACAACAGATAAAAAGGACTTAAGGCTCATTCACCATTCTCTGACAGGCAGCACACTCCACAGTCCTGCTGGCTCCGGTACACAGCAAATACAGGATAGATCAGTACATTCATTATAACTTCCTGGCATGAAACATCTCACGCTAACAAAATCAGTATATTTATTGTAACAATTAAGTGTCTTAAGGAAGGGGTACATTTTCTTATTTACACAAAGGTCTGTACAGAGTCCCGGTGGCCCTAACAACAGGCTTATGACACATTTTCCTGGCAGATTTAAGCTTTTAATAATATGACTTGGAAAACAGTAGGAAGGTCCCTCAAAAAATTAAAAATAGAGCTTTTCCCAAAATCCCATTCTGGGTGCATGTCCAAAGGAATTGAAATCAGTATGTGAAAGAGTATCTGCACTCCCATGTGCACTGCAGTGCTATTCACAATAGCCAAGAAATGGAACAACTCAAACATTCATTGATGGGAGAATGGATACAGAAAATGTAACACATACATAATGCACCACTATTCAGCCATTAAAAAAGGAGGAAATCCTGTCATTTGTAACAGCATGAATGAAGCTGGAGGACATTATGCTAAGTTAAATAAGCCAAGCATAGAAACACAAATACTGCATGATGTCACTTCTGTGTGGCATCAAAAAGAGTCAAACTGGGAGACATGGTAGAATGACGGTTGCCAGCGTCTGGGTGTGGGGGAGGGGTGGCTGTGGAGAGCTTGTTCCAAGGATACATAGGCCCTAAAGGAATAAGTCCAGGAGATTTATGGTCCCTCTTGGTGACTACAGTTAATAACAAAGTATTGTATGCTTGGCAACCACTAGGAAAGGAGATTTTAGGTGTTACTGCAGAAAGAAAGTGTGTGTGAATGAGTGCCTCAGTCTGATGAGGTACACGTGTCGCATCCCAGGTACGCCATAAGTGTATGTAATTCTGCCAATTTAATAAATAAGAATATTGCTGCATATATTAGGACATCTACAAAACCAAGAGACTTTCTGACACATTTCACCTAACTCCGAAGGTCTGGGCTATGCAGGACACTCGGGGGTGGCTCCAGCTCAGCACGCCCTCAGGGCCTCCTCTTCCTCCCTTTTTTTCCTGTTGTTGTGGTGGTTGTGGAGGTGGTGATAGTAATTTTTGGTTTTTGTTGCTGTTATTTTTTGTTTTACTTCAGTGCTGGGGGGATGGAACCCAGGGCCTCGCGAACGCTGGGCAAGGTTCTGCCATTGAGCTGTACCCTCAGCTCTTCCTCGCCTCTGTAGAACATGGCTCTGTGTGGTTGCTGCTTTAATGACACAGGAAGTGATGATGAGGACAGCGTGACGAGGTGCAGACGGGCTTCTAGAAAGGGGCTGACTCTGCGAGCCACGCAGTGTCCATTGCAACTGCTCAACTGCAGCTGTGGCATCAAAACAGCCACAGGCAAAAGACGAATGAGTGAGCATGGCTGAGAGGCAGGAACACTTCCGGAATCAGGGCAGGCTGGATTTAGCCCTGCTTTAAATTCTGCTTCATTCAATCCCCACAATAACCCATTAAACCCAGTGTTAAAGCCCGG